CTCCGCTGCGTCACGGACCGGGCCGGCCTGGACTCAGTTCAGCTCAGTTCGGCTCGGCTTAGCTTAACTCCGCTCTACACGGGGCCGGGCCGGGCCTGCTCTGCTCTGCTCCGCTCCGCACGGGCCGGGCCGGGCTGTTTTTCCCTCCCTCAGGCGCTCCCCGGTGGGACCCAGCGCGGTCCCTCGGGCCCGCTGAGCTCCGTCCTTGCGGCTCCGCGGTGCCCGCTCCGCCTCTCGCAGCGGACGGGAAGCGCCGGCGGAGTCTCTCTCCCGTTGCGGCGTTGAGTTAGTTGTACTGGTTCGGTAGCAAATCTTACCGGCCCGTTTTTATGTCGGTGATAGGCGCTGCACAAGGCCGGGCAGTTCGGCTCGATACCCTTTACCCCGTGCGCTCTGCGAGCGGCGGAGCACGGCGGGGCTGAGGCTCCCCGAGCTCTGCCCTGGACAGGCGCTTCCAGCCTGGCTTTGCATGTCCCTGTCACCATGGGGTCCTTCTGTGGTCAAGGTTTGCCCTTCCTGTGCTGGCTGCACAACCACTGATGAGAGGAAAAAGTGTCAAGCTGTGTTAGGGGAGGTTTAGGTTGGGTGTCTGGAAGAATTTTGTCTCGGGGTGAAGAGACATCGGGATGGGCTGCCCAGAGAGGTGCTGGAGTTACTGTCCCTGGAGGTGTTCAAGGAGAGACTGGATGTGGCACTTTGAGCTGTGTTCTAGTTGATGAGGTGATGGTTGGTCAAAGGCTGGACTCTGAGGTTTTTCCCATCTCAGTGGTTCTGTGATTCCGTGACTGCAGAGGTGCCGATGGAGGTGGGTGTCCTGCCTGTGGAGCTTTGGTCCTGGACAGAAGCCTGGCAGCACTGCCTGGCCTCCAAGCCCAGGAGCACACACAGGACCCGCAGCCCTCCAGGCACCTGTCCCTGTTCCAGTGGTGGAGGGGCCAGTGCTGGCCCGGTGTGGGGCTGAGTGTGGCAGCCTGAGGCTGCCCTGGCCACCACTGGCCCCGTGACTGGCCGGAGCTGCTGCCTGCCACACGAGGAGCAGGGTGAGGTGCTGCAGAGGTGGCAGTGGTGGGGCAGGGCAGGCTGGGGCACGTGGTGCTGGGGCCGGCCCTGGCCAGCACTGGCCACAGGTGCCCCAGGCTGCTGCCCCAGCTGCTGCTCTGGTGCTCCAGCTGCGCACGGGGACCTGTGCAAGCCCATGGGACATGCTGGGGACAGCAGGTGACAGCAGCCAGCTGCACACCCCTCACACGGACCTGGAGCTCAAGTCTCTGCAGCAGGGGCTGCAGCAGGACAAGCTCTCCACAGGGCTGCATCATCTGACCTTGCCTTTCCAGGCTGCGAAGGGAGGGCATTCATTTACTCATGAGGGCAGGTGAAACTGGAAGGAAGCATCTTTAGGGACCTGACCCACGCTGGGCACTGCAAACAGGACAGCAAAATCCTGTATCTGAGGCTGCTGTGAACCCTCTTCCCTCTCCCTGCTTCTCCACCAGCTCCATTCCTGTGGTTGCCCAGCCCAGATGAAAGGCAGGTTGCTGGCAGCTGCCTGCTTCTGCACACATTCTGCACATTGTGGTGTAATCACAAGTGGAAATATTAATATGGGGACAGACTGGGGTCACCTAGTCAGGTGCATTCGAGCCTGTAAAAGCGCAGCTGCAGCGACTGGGGGGGCTGCAATATTGACTGCTGGACATGCCCCTCACCATGGCCAGCCCTGGCTGGTGCTTGCTTCAGTCAGAGGTCAGCTGAGAGGAGGGGATTTTGGTGGGGACACACACTGGACGCTGAACTGAGGTTTTCTCTCAGCATCATCTCACCCTGCAGTTGCCCACAGCTCTCAGCTCTGTGCCTGTGCCAGACAGGATGGTGGTGGCAAGAGTGGGGCACCACCACTGCCAAAATCCCCAGTGCTGGTGGTGCTGGGGGAGCTTGGAGGTTCCTTTCCAGCCACCGACCCAGAGCAGGCTCATCCCCAAGGGTTGGGGCAGCCCAGGGTGTGGGCCCATTTTTCATTCCATGACTCTAAAAGACTGTAGATAGAAGTTTTGGAGGTGGAGAGGAAGGGGAGCATTCCCTGCCCAGCTCAGTGGGAATTTGCTCAGGTAGGAATTACCAGCTGGAGTAGGAAGCATGAGTATATATCAGCAGGAATCATTGGCTGTGAATGTGGGCTCAGTGCAGTCTGAATGGAAGCATGGCAGAGGTGGCCAGAGCTGGGGGTCCTTGCGCAGCCCAGGCCAGGGCCAGCTGCACGGACGTGGCCGTGGCCTCCGCAGGCAGCTGAGTGTGCCTGACGGAGATGGGCCATGGCCACATCCCACCAGGCTCCACGTGTGGCTGAGAGACTGAACGAGGCACCTGTCTGGGATGGGCAAATAACAGGAGGTGTAATTTAATTACTTTCTGATCTCTGTTGTTTGTCAAAGTGGGCTATGCAAAGGCAGTTGGTAATTATTTCTTAACACTTGTAAGATGTGGATTTAAGACGTGATTTTGTTTGTCTGGAATATATTGAACACTTCCGCTGTGTAAATATTTAACTTCTTTCTTTGAGGAAGACAGATTGTGATGAGCCTGGGAGGGCGCAGGTGCCCAGGGGCTGCAGAAGGCACAGCTGTTCCCTTTGGTCACATCCTACAGTTCCCTCCTGTTGGGGAACAACATCCTCCACTGCAAGGTTCGGGATGTTCCTGGCCCCAAGCAGCCTGACCAAGGACAGCAATGTTCAGGCTGCACATTCGCAAGGGAGCCACGCTCCTGGTGAATATCCCTCCTGCTTCCACACCAGCCCCAAGGGATCCAGGCCCCAGGACAGGTACAGCCCCCTGCTGTCCGCTGTGTTTTTCAGCCTGTTCCTTAGGCTGTTGTTGATGAATGAAGTCCTGCAGCCCCCTGGCATCGGCTGTGACCAACCCAAGCATGGCCTCACATCGAGAGGGGACCCTGGGGTCACAAGTGGTGGCCACTGCCCAGATGGGCTCCAGCTCCAGCAGCAAGGTGGCTAGGGGCTACACACACAGGAGCTTCTTCTGTGCCACTCTGACCCAGACTGGGGGTTCTCACTGGCTTCTCTGACGTTGTTTCTCCACAGCCATGCAAGGAAGCTGACAGCTCAGGGATGGGGGCCCTCATCAGCCCAACTTCAGCAGCCCCTTGCTAAAAAAAGATTGTTTTTACAATCTACAAACAAAAACAGCTGCTTATGT